CGCGCCCCCATGCAGGCCCCGCCCCGCCCCCCACGAGCACCTGGAGCAGTTTCCGCAGTCGATGACGGCGTTGTAGGAGGCGTTCACCGAGCCGAAGTAGTACTGGGTCTGTTTCATGACGCAGCTGCTCTCGCGTGTCTCGGGGCTCCCCTCGGCCTCCGCGGGGTCTGCGAGGGCCCAGAGCGCCTCAGCCCCGCCCACAGACCCTGGCACGGTCCTGGGCTTCAGTCTGGCTCAGCCATCAGACCCGTCCTCCCTTTGGAATCGGTGTCTGCTAAGATTGGGGACCGGGATTTGAGGAGGGACCTCCAAAGCCCTACCTACCTGCTTGGAACCAGCTGTGGTAGATGAGGCCATAGAGAAGCTGTTGGAACAAGGACCTGCAGGGTGGAGGAGGTCAGTAGAGGACAGTGCCCTGCCTCACTTATCTTTTGAGCCCTCTCGGACAGGGAGCACCTTCTCTACCCACCTCTCTCTCGGGACTCACCAGGCTGCAGCAGAGGTCCACCAGGCCAGGTTAAGGAAATCTGCAATGGTGGGCTGCAGTGGAGAGAGGGGTATGGGCTGCCACTGCTGCCCCTCGCCCTAGGTCACCCCCAGCTCTCTCAGATGTCACAGGTGGGAGGCCATCTCTGGGCAGGTCTCCCAGCCCCTCCTCCCAATCTCCAGGCCAGGCATCTCTGGGGGCTCACCACAAAAACACCCCGGGGTGCGGCGCCCAGGTTGCCAGGGGGTTGGGGGGCACAGGCTGCCTGATAGTCGTAGGACTCCTTGCGGGTGTAGAAGGAGTTATTGTAGAGTGCCAGCATCAGGTTGGCATCCACCTCACTGAAGAACCTGCCAACCTGGGGATGCCGGGAGGGAGCCGTGATCACAGGGCTGGCAGTGCCACTCCCTCCAGGAGGCTCAAACCCCTATCCCCTCCTTCCACCCTCTTCCTGATTCTCACCTGGTCCCACTGATGGTTCTGGTTCGACAGCACCAGGAATCCCCCATCATCAATGAGGACACAGAGTAGGTCCTGAGAAGTAGAGAAGGGGGAGGAAAATGGAGAGGGGCTTGGCCCCAGACCTTCCACGCCAGGCCCTGGCTGTCCAGTGGTGTGTGTGGAGAGACACAACTTCCCCTACTTCTGGTAAGGTTGTGAACTGAGGATGGGGATGTTGAGACTCACAGGCCAAAGGATGGGCTAGGAGTTGCAGTTGAGACTAAGAAGTCTGGGAGTGGAGTAAGCTAGGGACCAGGGCAGGTTCAGGGCACACGCACCTCATTGTTAACCTCGCAGTCCATCTCACAGTGGCTGCTGGGGCCGCACTGCTGGGCAGAGAATGAGGACTGTAAGCGCCCACTAGTTTTCTTCCCTTCCATCACCCTTCATACATCTGATTCCCCAGGCTGTCTGCATCAGCCCTTGCCTTCCCATAGGTGCTGAAGCCACTCTGAGGGGGAGGCTTGGTAGGGGTCCCCAGGGACTCCAGAAAGGTAATCGCTGGGTTTACTGCCCCCTCCCCTGCCCAAATACCTTCTGAGGTTGATCCTGGTGGGTACGGTTGCTGGCTAGCACCTTGAACTTCTCAGCCCAAGCTTCTAGGTCCAGCTTGACGCCCACCACTTTGGGGAAGAGCAAGGGGCCATCAGTGCTACCTGTCTGGGCAGCACCCTGCCCATTGCCTCTTTCACCACCTCCATCCTGGGCATTCACCTGCTGGTCTTATTGTGTGCCCGCCTAGGCTGAGCTCCACAGCTGTGCTGACGAGGATGCCCACTGTGTCGTTCTCCAGCTCCAGGGGCCTTAACAGGGCTGGGGTGAGGTGGGGTGGGGCAATCAGGAGTGGGGGCTGGTGGCCACACTGCCCACTCCATGTTGGGCCCTGCAAACCCAGGAGCCCAACCCAGGGCTGACTCCAGCCTAAGCACCCAGCACAGTGTTTGGTACAGTCAAACACATCTGCCCTGGTTTCAGCCAGCCTCGTGTCTGAGAGAGGCCTCAGAGAGCAGAGCCCAGGCCTGGCTGAGCAGACCACCTTGGGCAGACACTCACCATCCTGGTGTGGGGGCTTGAAGACATAACCATGGTTATCCAGGCTACGGCGGTAGAAGCTGGCATTGAAGGGCTCAGGGTTCTCTGTCCAGTCCTCAGCTGCCCTGGAGCACCCAAGAGAGGCAGAGATAGGTGGGTAAAGGGTGGCTTGTGGGAGACAGCATTCTCAGCAGGTGCAAGGAAGCCTTTGGGCAGCAGGACAGAGAGCCACAGGCAGGGACAGGGTGCTCGGTAGTGGGGTAGGTCACTTACTTGTTGGGGAAGACACGGGTGATGCCCCCATCAGTGGCAGCAAACACGGCCAGCAGGCTGTACCTGGGGGCAGCAGGGATATGGGAGTCATAGGCCTACCTCTGCCAGGCAGGGCCAGGGCTTCTGGCCCATCCCAGCCTCCTGCACCCACAGGCTAGGTAGTGCCTACGTGTTGAGATCCTGGTCCCGCCACACGCGCTCCACCAGCTGCTGTGTGATGCCCGTGTCCAAGATCAGGTTGTGCAGAAGGAAGTTATTGCCTGGAACAGGAGGGCAGAGGTGGAGGGGGCATCTTCTTGCAGTTCCCTGCCCACCTTGGCCCTCACCCCCAAGGCTCCACCAGGAGCCTTCCCCATGACTTGGCCCAGGCTCTGCCCTTGGCTTGGGCCTGCATATTTCCAAACCTGCCCAGCCTTCTGGGCTGCCCATGCTGCCTGGGTACTGCCCAGATCCAGCTGCCCTGCCAGGCACTCACACTGCTTCGAGTCTGGAGTCACTTTCTCCATGAGCTCAATGAAGTTCTTCAGGAACTCGGTGTTGTTGTCTGAGGCATTCAGGTCCTTGCAATACTCTCTGAAGGTGGGGAGGGGCAAGAAGAGTGGGCTTGGCGGACTGAACAGGGCAGTGGGGTCGAGGCTTCCCAATAGGCCTGCCCGGCTGCTCTCTGAGAAGCCCAGGCCTCAGGGAGGGGGCACGCGTGCTCTTACAGGCTGCAACTGCTATGTGCCCGGCAGGCTGCCCGGGTCTGAGTCAGGGAAGAGATGACATAAGAATGAGGGTCTGCTTCCTCCACCCTGGCAGGTTCTCTCCTGGGGATGGCCCTGCAGAGCCTCCCATCTCTCCTGCGTAGCTGGACCCAGATGGTGTACCTGGGAGGCCTCGGGAAGTGTCTGGTGGTCGGCTCATCCACTAGTATGCCCTGGAGCGTTCCCGTGAGCACAAGGTGGAAGTGGAATACCGCACTGGCTCTTGTCAGCCTAAGTCAAAGGACTCATCCTGCTTCTTCCTGGCTATGCACCTTTGGGCAACTCACTCAAGCTCCCTGAGCCTCACTTTTGTCATCACACCATAGAAGGTGTTGGGAAGACAGTGGGAACATGTGGGTCCTCAGACTGGCTGTTCCCTCTGCCTGGAATGCCCTTGCCTCAGAGGTGGGCAGGCCAAATTCCTCACTGGGCTCAGGCTGTAAAGAACATGAGGGCTGTGGGGCATGAGGACAGGCTCACTTGGGGCTCTGCTCCCTATGAAGTCTTGGTGAGCATCCCTCTACCCTGATAGGTTAGGTGGAGCCATCTCTCCTGCCCAATCCCTCATTTGTACCTCTACCACCAGGGACCTCCCCACTCGCCTGTATGGCAGCAACACTGTGGGAATTTTTAAAATATGCCACCTCCCCAGGCTGTCCTAGGGCCCATAGCTTGGTGAGGGCACCTGGGACTGGGTCTCAGATCCCATTCACTCCCTGGCCCCCAGAATTTTTGTGCAGTGAGCACATAGCCTGTCTTTGTGCCTGGAGGCCATACCTGACATACCCAGGATGACACCCATAAAGCTGTGCTCAAGATACACCAAGTCACTTGCAATCCCTCTCATGCACACAATGTGCACATTCACATTTGTGGGGTACTTCATTCATCCACCCTACACATATTTATTGAGCTCTCCCAAGCCAAAGATACAGAGGTGACAAAAATGAACATGTCCCTGCCCTCAGGATCATGTGGCCCACACAGGTCTTTCACATATTCTCATAGTCATGGATGCACAGAGCCTGCCCCACATTTACACTTGGGCTCTTACAATGACTCACAAATACACACATCTACAGAGAGAGTCACAAAGAAATTTGTGGGTGCATGCACGCACGTGCATACACACAGAGGTGAGGAATGTCCAGAGCCCCCGTGTGGTGCTGAGAGTGCCCATGGGTCTCTGTTAATTGCGTCCACCTGCCCTCATTCAAAGCCCAGGTCACAGGAGAAAGCTTCAACACCTGGAGACCTCCGGCCTCCTCAGAAGTGGGCACGAGGATGTGTGTGCCTGCTGAACATGCCCTTCAGGGATGGTCCAGGCCTGGGCCTGCTCTGGGCCCTGACCTCTCACTTGCCAAAACAGCTCCTCAAAGCCCCTGCCCTCCCTCCCATTCCCACTCACCCCACACTTCCTCAGTGAGCCACCATATCTAGACTAGGCTCTGCAGACAGGGGCTCTGGCTGGCTCAGCCCCCAGACCCACACAAACACTGACTGACACAGGACAATGATGGGGTGCAGGGTAGGGGGATGGGCAGGACACCACAAACCAGAGCAGCAGCTGCCCAGCGAGGGGGTGTGCTGCAGACAGCCAGTCCCAGGACAGAAAGGGCTCCTTCCTGGTTGCCTGGGTGGGCAGGGAAGGTCAGCAGAGAGTCCAGAGCCCACCTGCCCCAGGCCTGGTGGGAGCTAGGGTTATGGGGCCATTGGCCACTGCTGCCTGGCGCGGCTACATGGCCTGGGTATGCACAAAGCCACACATACCGGGCTATGTATGGGGGGCTGGGGGCGACACTGCACAGGACACAGACACACAGAGCTCCAGGCAGCAGTGCAGGAGGCGGGGCCCGGGCGGTTGGGGTGGGGGAGGACACCTCAGCAAGGCCACACACAAGCTACCTGGGAGCAATGAAAATATGTCCTTCAGACTCAAAGCTGCTGGGGAGCAGGAACTCAAAATCTGCAACAGAAACGGGGGGTTATCCGGCGGGGGCTGGGGAGGTGGGAGGCCAGGGGGCTCAGAGCTGACGGAGCTGGAGGGACAGGGGAGAGGGTGGCTTGAGGGAGGGGGAGACACCAGCAAAGAGGGAACCCGCCACTTCCATGTTCAGGTTCGAGCCAGAGAGAAGGGATGGGCAGGGAGGGGTGGAGGGCCTTTGGAGACTACAGCATCGCAGGAGGAGGGCAGTTATAGCCAATATGTTGCCCAGGCCTGGTCCTCTGTCGGCAGTGAGTCCCTTGGCGTGGCTGTATATGCTTCCATACTGCTGTATAGCACATATACACAGACACACACACACACATATATATACACACACTGCTATATATATGCATGGTCTGGGGGAGGCGCCAGTCTCACTCTTAACACATCCATAATGGAAAAAACCACATGCTGAGCTTCCTTCGTCTCCCAAGAGACTTGAAGGGAATTGGCTTTTGGCTGCGGATTTTTATCTCTTTTTCTTTGCCACAGCTGTTTGTTTTTGGTAGGTCTTGCTTTTGTTCTGTGTCAGGCATCAACATGGCCAAACCGAGGGGGTTTCTCACAGGCACAGACAGTCCAACCAGAGACGGGCGTGGGCAGCTGGGGGAGGGCTGCAGTGCATTGTGGGGATCTGGTGGTCCTCCCTGGGACAGGAGGCTGGGTGAAGGGAGAAGACCCTTGAGGTTCCTGGGATTGTTCCCACGCTGTGGGAGGAGAGTCTAGGAGTTGGGGGGCAGTGGGAGGGCTCCTAGAACCTGCATACCTGCTTTCCTGGGCTGAGGGCATGAGGGACAGGTGGGGAAGAAGGGCTGGGTTTCTAGCCTTCTTAGGACCTTTCTGGGCTCAGAGCAGCCTAGGAGGAATGCTGGGGCTCCAGAGATGGTATGGAGGTGCTGTTGAGGGCCCATCAATTGTGCCTGTGCCCTGGGCTTATGAGCTGTGCATGTGTGGGTGAGCATGGATGCTACAGTGTGTGTGCGTGTGTGTGCGTGCGTGCGTGCGTACATTAGCATGGGTTTGTGAGTGAACCTGAGGATGTGGCCACTGGGGCTCCTCTGCGGCCTCTCCTGCCCAGCTGACTGGCTGCCTTGCTGGTCTGCATCTGAGAGTTGTGTCCCTGCTCTTGGTCTGTCTCACTCTGGGCAGTCTACCTTCCTATCCTGTCTTCACCCAGATTCCGATCTCTCTTTTTCCTCCAGGGCTTTACTTGTGCAGAAGAGGGATTTTTTCCCTGTTCCCAAATACTCCCACGATGCACTGCAAGATTCTGGGGAAGGGGAACTTGGGTTGCTTGGAGGGGTTGGGCAGTCACTGGTTGGACTGTTCCTTTCTGATAGGACTGTGAGGCAGGGTTTGGACACAAGCCGACTGGGAAGGGGTGGGGGAAGAGGAGGAGGCAAAAGAAAAAGGAGGGGGAAGGAATAGGGAAGGACACTCTGCTTTGATTGCCATTGTTACCAGGGCCCTGCATTTCTGGGGTCACTGGGTGGGATGTGGGGGTGGGAAGAAAAAGACAACTCAAGCCAGTGGGAGAGGACACGTCTCCCACCCCACCTGGGCCAGTGGGGGCAGCTGTATCACCTTTGCTGGACTAGGCTGGAAAGGGCCCTTATGGCTTCTTGGATAGCGCCTGCTTCCAGGCCATGGGAACATCCCCTAGTGGTTCTCTGTGCCCCCTCTGCCTGTGTGTTCCCTGGGAGCAGCACATCTCTGTGCACCGGTGGCCGAGACCTTCACGTGCTGTCCTCTCTCACTCCCCTGTTCTCTGACAGAGCCTGGAGGTTCACTGCCCACCTTTCCAGAAGTCTCTCTGGCTTAGGCACCTTGGAGTGCCAGAACCTTTTTCTTCATACCCAGCTTGATTTCCTCCAAGCTCTTCTGCTGGTCTTTGGGATCTAGACAGATCCCATTTTGTCCCTGACCAGGCACATGGACTCTGAGTCTGCCTTTATTTTCCCAGGGGAACACTTTTTTCATACCTGCCAACCCTCCCCAGGGCAGGGCTGGACCAACTGACCTTAGCAAAACCTCTGGGAGCTGCGGGGGCAGCAGGGCACAGGGACTTCAGCACCGAGGCCAGTGGCCAGGATGGTCAGGTCAGCCTTGTTCTTCTAGTGGCCTGGCTGTCTGTCCTATGCTGCCCCTTAGCCACAGGGTCAGAGTGTGCAGCTTCTGAGCCTTTCAGTCTCCCTTTTTATTTTTTTATTTGTAAAATTTTTTTTGGCACCTGGCTGGTACAAGGATTGATCCCTGGACCTTGGTGTTATCAGCACCATACTCTAACCATCTGAGTGACTGGCCAACATCTTCCTTCTTGGAGGGCTGCCAGCTTCTGGAGCCACTGCTGAAGATCATAGGAAGGAGAGCTATCCCAGAAGAAGCCTGGTGGGACAGGCTCTTTCCCATAGCCTCACATAAGCCCCTCCAAGGGCCGATCTACCCCTTGTATCTTGGACCCCTTGCCCTGTTGGGTAGGAGGTGGTAGAGAGGCATCCAGCCCTGTGTCCACTGTTGAGTCATCTTGGGGGGACAGAGAAGATGGGGGGAGGCAGGGGTCTTCCTAGGGGGAGCAAGGAGTACAAGGAAGGGGTCTGAGCCCTCAGAACACACTGGAGGACACCCTGCTGGAAAGGGCCACTGGCTCTAACAGGGACTTAGGGATCCGAGGAAAGGCAAGAATTAGGGTGGGTGGGGTGGGGAGAGGAGGGTGCACTGGTTCTGAATATACTTGCCCTTCAGTTTGCTGATTGGCACTGGGACAGTCCACCAAGAGAGAAAGCGAGGAAAACAAAAACAACACAAACACAAAAACAAACGAAAAGGGGGAAGGGAAGGGGAGGGGCACAAACAATATTTTATTCAATGGCTGTTTGAATGAAAATATTGTGTCTCATAATCATACCGAAAGGAAACTTCTTGCAAAAAACGACATGAGAGAGAAAGAGAGAGCGAGAAAACTCAAAGGAGATGAGCCCCAGTCGGCCAGGCAGGTGGGGGGCGCCCGGTGGGGCCGGAGCCCCAGCCTCCCTCCCAGTGATCTCGGGCGGGCGGTGGGCGGTGGGCAGGCGGGGCCACAGGCTGTGGAGACCCAGGCCTCCCAGGAGAGGCCCTGGGTGAGCAGGGCATGCAGGGACGAGCCACAGGCAGAGGAGTGGGAGGAGGAGGGACAGGGAGGCAGGAGTGAAAGAGAGAGGAAAGCAAGGGAGCAGAGGGAGACAGAGGACGGAGGAGGGAAAGAGGAGGGAGGGAGGAAAGAGGGAAGGAGAGGGAGAGAGGCAGGGAGAAGAAGGAAGGGCAAAAAGAGAGAGCAAGGGAGGGAGGTCAGAGAGGAGGAAAGGGAGGGAGGTGTGAGCTGAGTGAGGATGGGTGACGAGGGGCAGAGGAGGGGCAGAGGGAGAGCCTCTGGGGAGGTGGCACCACAGCGGGAGAGAGCTGAGCAGGGAGAAGGGGGAAGGAGGAATGGGGGTAGGGGGTGTCTTCCAAGAATGCAGCCCCCAGGGGTGTGCGGGGCAGGCAGGCTAAGGAGGGAAGACATGGAGTAGGAGAAACCAAAAACAGAAACCTCAACGGAAACCATGAGAGAATGGTCTGGAACCAAATCTGAGAAAAGGCGAGCATGCAGATTTTCACAGACTTTGGAAGGCCGGTGCCCCAGCCTGCGGGCGCCTGGGGGGTGGGCAGACGGGGCAGGAGGGGTCGCCTTGCTGGCAAGCGGCAACTGGCTATGCTGCCTGGGGCCAGCCAGGGTGCGGGGCAGAGGCAGGGGTGCAGGGCGCAGGCAGGGGACGGGCCACTTACACTTGACCTGCAGGATCTGGTCGCTGAGGTTGGCTTGGAGGTAGAAGGTGCTATAGGGTGGAAGCACCAGCCCTAGGCTGTGGGGGGAGGAAGGGGAGGAGTGCAGGTCACTGCTGGGGAGAGGGGGGCCACACTGGCACCCTCTCCCCATGGCCTTGGAGCTGGGCAGGGAAGGCCAAGCTGTGGGTAGCCCCTACTCCAACCATCAGGGACACCTTTCTCTGCTTAGCTGTGAGGGATTCATGGTCTAGGAGTCCACACCCTGGAGAAACCCAGGGACCTGGGTCCTCCACATCCCCAAACTCTCCTGAAGGCCTCTGAATAACCAGTCCCCAAACCAATCCCCACCTCACCTTCCACAACTCCCCACCTGCCCAGTCAGCCTCCTCCCTCTGACCAGCAGCAAACTCACAAGGGGCAGGACACTTGTCAGTGAGCTAACTGCAGGGGTGGGGGCTGCCATGGGTGTGGGGTCCACAGTCCCCAGGTGCTTGGGCCACGTGAGAGCCAGCTGAAAGCAGGGCTGACACTAATATGGTGAGGGGCAGTCGTGGGCCAGTCCCAGAGTGTGAGGATGCCCCTGGCACTTCAGAACAGACCGGCTGTGTGAGGCACTCAGAGGACAACTTGCACTGGCCAGTCTTGACCCATAGGGACCCCCTTGAAGGTCCTAAGGATGACATCCTGGGCGCAGATACCCAGGGCTACAATCCAGGTGGGAGTGATGTGAGAGGGTGGTGGTTGTGAGGAGACATCAGATATCTCTGTCCTGTGCTCCCAGGACCTGCTGCTTGTTCCTGAAAGGCCCTTGGGGGACTGAGCACCCCAGGGTGAGTACTGAGGAGCCCTGGCCACTGGTGCCCTCTGGGATGGTGGTCACAGCATATTGTGGCAGGAGAGGGATGGGGCAGCTGCTCTTAGACTCTGGGGCTGCCCCCACCCCTCTCTGCCCCGCCAGCCCTGGCCCCACTCACCTGTAGTTGGTGCTCCTTATAGGTACCCAGGTGTAGTTCCGTATCACCTCATCTATGTATCTCTGGGAGAGGAGGCTGGGTCAGGTACTTGGGCTAGTAGGCAGGGGCAGGCAGGTGGGGTAGGATGGTGGCCACCCGACTCCCTATCCCCTCTCCCCCGCATTCTTACCTCATCCAGGGACTTGACCAATGTTCTGATCTGCTTGTGGCCCTTGTTGCCATCGATCATGCTTCGACGGATCTGAAAGGACCAGAGACGTGAGGGGCGGAGCCCTTACCCTCTTCTGCTCTCTCTGCCTGTGGTCCCCACCCACCCCTGCTCTCCTTCCCCTTACCTCCTCCTTGTTCTCATCCTCCAGCTCCGCATCTAGGAAGTCCAGAGTCACAGGCTCTCGGAAGTTGGGGGTCTATGGAAGGCAGGGTGGGAAGTCAAAAGTCCCCATCTGGGAAGGCTTACCCACCCTCCAGGCTTCTTGGCTCACCTGGGGCTTGAGATTGGGGTGCAGCAACACATAGCCGTTCAGGTCAATGGCAAACACGTAGCCGTTGGCTCCAAGCTGGGGGTGCATATTTGGGGCTCAGGGTCTGGAGGACTGGGCAGGGATTCCCTGGGTTCCAAGTACTTCACGATTCTGCTCTCCACCCTGCTGAGGGGTGCTGTTTGCCTGCCTTGGGCCAAGGGCCCCACATGCCACATGACCCTAAGCCTGTCTCTCAAGCCAGGCCAGCTGACTGGGTGCCCTTACGAACCAGCCCCTGCCGAGGCTGGCAGCCCCATGGATTGGCATTCTGCAGTTCTTGTCCTCTGCCTCCACTGGCTGCACATGCTGCTGCCCTCCCCTACCACTACTCTGATTTCTGCCTCCTCCCTGTCCCATCTCAGGAGAGCACAGGGGGAGAGCAGACCCTTGGAATTCCACAGGCCTGGGGCATCCTTACCAGGTGGAGGGGAAGTAGGAACAAGTGAGAGCTGGCCCTAGCCCTTACCTCTCTGAGGCAGTTTCCTCCCAGAACACGGAGGCTGACACCATGGCTCCTTCCCCCTCAGGACCAAGCAGGGACTTCACAGGCTTAAGGATGCTGCCACCCATGCCCCCCTCTCCCCCTGTCACAGGCGACACCCAAAGCCCCTAACCACAGGCCCTGGGCCTGCCTCACTGCGGTCTTGCCCCTTCCCTAGTTTATGATTTTGTTTTCTGTTCAGGCCTTTGCCCAGAGTTTCCTCTGCCTCCAATGTACCCCTTCCCTCCTTTCTGCTTGAGATACTCCTGCCCATGAGCGGGGGCCAAGCTGCCACCAGTGACTATGCGGCCATGAGCTAAGAATGGTTTTTACATTTCTAAATGGTTGAAAAAAATCAAAGGAAGAATTATATTTCATGACATGTAAATAATTATCTGGAATTCAAATATCAGTATCCACAAACAAAATTATATTGGAACACAGCCATGCCCATTTGTTTACGCTTTGTCTGTGGCCACTTTCACAATACAATAGCAGAATTAAGTTTGAGATGGGTATTTAGGCTGGCAAAACCTAAAATATTTGCTGTCTCGCCCTTTACAGAAAGTTTACCAACCTCAGCTCTGGGCCCAAGGTCACCTCCTCAGGAAGCCCTCCCTGATTCCCTGAACTCTGGGGTCTCTATGGAGGCAGTATAATCCCCATCAGTCTCCGCTCAGCCTGGCTTGTGCCCATGTGGGAGGCAGAGCAGGGTGGATGGGCAGTTGGATACTCACCGTGTAGTTGGGAGTCAGCCTCTTGATGTCATTCAGAGCCACGTCGATACCCATCACACCCAAGATCAACTGATTCTGGGAGCAGAGACACGAGGGGAGAGGTCTGTGATGGGCTCAATTCCACGGGGGAATCCTCATCTACCCAACCCCCACAGCCAAGGCCTTAAGCTGCTCTCACAGGAGCTGCCCCTGACCAGTGTGCGGTTCTGCCCCACCCCTCCTCCATCCCCAGACCTGCCACAGGCATGCCCAACCCTTCCCCACCCTCCCCTGCAAGCCCAACCCTACCCCAGTGGAGGGCCTTACCTTCTTTTCCCCAGGGCTATCCTGTGTCAGGTTGAAAACAGGGAGGGTCCCTGTTACCACCAACCCCAGCCCCTGAAGGGAGAGGAGGATGATGAGGTCTCCCGTGGCTAGCCCTGCCCCCACCCTGAGTGTGCAGAGCAGGGGCTCAGGTACAGGCCCCTCTCTACCGTCTGCTTAGTTTACCCTCATTAGGGGGGCCCTCAATTGTCTTGACCCTGTGGGTACAGCCCTAGGGGAAGGTGGCCAGCCCCTCCCCCTCCTCGCCCAGAGGCCTCACCAGAGCATCCTCATACACGTTGGTCCATTGCACCTGCTTGGCCTCCTTGCCTGCCAGCACCATGGGCCTGCCCAACACGTCTAGATATTCCTGGGGAGGAGGCGGCGGCAGTGGTCATAAGTGCTCCCTGTTCTGCCTCCTGGTGCGTCAGGATTGTGCCCCAGATGCCACCAGGGGGCGCTCTTGGCCCACAGCATCCTCTGGGAAGCAAAGGGCTGGGAGGATGGGCCTCCCCCAGTCTCACCTGCGTGTTGATGCGGATGGCTCCGATGGAAGGGATCTCAAAATAGTAACCTGTGAAGGAAGGGAAGGCAGAGGTGGGCTTGGCTGGCACCGTGAGACCCGCAGCACAGGGGCTCCTGGGGTGTGTCTGCAGCCCTGACTTGTCTCTCAGGCTCTCTCTTTGGTGTCACTCCCCGCAAACTCACATCCTTTTAGTGCTCCCTGCCATTGCCCTGTCAGCGCGGCTGAAGCTATGGAGGGGAACAAATGTAGGAGTATAAGGAAGCAGAGCAGGGGCAGGGATGGGGTGCAGGGAGGAGCCTGAGGCTGCAGTCCCTCACTCTAGCACGACAGTGACATTCAGAGTCCACCCAGCAGCCAGGTTCAAGTGCACAGCAAGATGGATGATTAGCAGACACAGGAGCAGACAAGCTGGGAGATGGATGTACAATGGATGGACAGAAAAATGGGCATAAAGATGCTCAGTCAGATGGACAGGTTACAGCCACCAGATAGAGCGACAGACAGTCACATGTTTGGAAAGATGAACAGACAGTGGGTGAACAAACAGCTGGACATATGGTGAACAGCTGGACAACAAACCCAACGGACAGCAGGATATGGCAGGCAGGGAGGCCCCCTGGCAGTGACGTCCAGGCAGGGTACCTTTGTTGGCACAGGCCATCCACTGTAGGGGTGTGACATCGTAGTTATGCTGTCCCACGGAGAAAGTGAATACGCGCACCTGTGGGGGCTTGAGGTTATTGCCACGACCACCCTGTACCAGGCCCAGATCAGGGCAGCCCCACTTGGGCTGAGCCTCACCGTCCGGTTGGGCCAATTGTACTTCTCAAAGACGTCCTGCACGCGGTCCTCGCCGCCATCCGTGAACATCATGATCATCTTATTGCAGTTGGCCCGAGTGATGTTGGACTGGGCAGGGTAAGCATGGAGTCAGACAGTTCTCAGCCCTTCCCTGGTCCAGGGGCAGGGCTTCCCTCCCCCTGGTCGGCCTGGCCAAACTGCCTGCTTTGTGCTAACAAGGCCATCCGTCTTGATTTCCCTGGTGTCACTGAGCCTGGGCCCTCACCCGCCCCTGGCCACCCGTTTGTCCACCCACAGGGCTCACATTCTGCAGCTGGTCAAAGGCATACTCAAAGCCGGCCTTGTAGCCCGTGGTGCCCTTGGCCACCATGCCCTGCACAGCTTCCTTGAACACCTTCTTGTTACGCACATTGGCCTGCACCAGGTGTGTGAAGCATGACACAGGCTGTGCCTTCTCGTTGAACTGCAGAGACAGTGGGGTGGTGAGTGGCCTCAGGCTAGCTGGGGCAGGCAACTGTTTCACAGAGCTGGTGGTGGTCACAGGAGTGGGGCAGGTGAGGTGACCCATTCCCTGCCTGCCTGATGCCTTGGCACTCACCGAGGCCACGTTGACATAGTCATCGTCAGAGAGCGTGTCCAGCATCTCACAGACGGACGTCTTCATCAGCTTCAGGGTCAGGCCGCTCACGCTGCCGCTCCTGGAGAGGTCAGACAGGGGCCATGGAGGTGCCAGGCAGGCTTCAGGTGTCCTTTGCCCTTCCCCCATGCTGTTCCCAGGCAGCAGAGTGGACCCATTGCCCCACCCCAGCCTCAGCCCGCCTGCCATCATTGCTCACTCACACATCCACGATGATGACCATGTCCTTGGGCGATGAGGCCCCCTGGATATACCTGCCCATGAGAAGCCTCATTAGGGCCCACTGGGACTTTGTGGGCCCTTCCCTCCTTCACCCGCACATTGATTTGACATGTGCCTATTAAGCATCCACTGCAGAGGCCAGGCAGGGCTCTAGGCACTGAGGATACTACTTTAATAAAACAGACACAGTTCCTGCCTGTGACACGAGTGATCGGGTCCTCAGCAAGTGAACGGCCCCAAGGGGGGGGCGGTTAGCAGGTGATCCAGAGAGGGGCAAGAGGAATGCTGCCTGGCTTTAGTGGCTTGTTGTGTCCCATGCCCCAGGTTGAGGCCCCAAGGGCAGAGGCTAGCTGTGTGTGGGATGGAGCAGGTGGCAGGGAAGGAAAGTCATGGGATACTGAGAGAGGGGTGGAGCAAAGGGTAGGGGTGTCTAGGGCTCAGATGGGTGGGGCAGAGGCTGGCCAACTCTGCAGATGCTACATCTACCTTTGGGAGCCCCCGACTGGTCCAATTTCTCAGTCCCAAGAGGGTGGGAGTGCCAGGCGGTGGACTGGGGGCAGAGGCAGCTGGGAGGCCTGCCTGGGTGATGGGATCCATTTTCCAGCGCCAACGATGTGTGAAATGAAAATTGGATAGAGCTGGCTGCGCCCTGCTCAGGGGCCTGGATATCAGGAGGGAGGGGAGCAGGCAGGAGAGGCGGGGAGCTGAGGGGGTATCCCTGCCTAGCTCCTCCTTTGCTCACCAGGGTCTCCTTCGGACGTCATACAGGTCAATCTTCTTGGGGGCTCGCCAAGGGGTGGCTGTAGGAGGACAGAAAGTGAGGGGGACTGGCAGAAAAGGGGGCCTGATCCAGGTAGTCAGGCCTTTCAGGAGTGGCTGAGCCACCACAGCCTCCAGGGTGGCTACCCCACCTCCCACACCCCAGGATGGGTGGGTTGGGAGATGGAGGAAGATGGGGTGCTGGGTGGCCAGGGAAGATGGGCTGGCACCCACCTGGATAGTAGCGGGTGACTCCTGTGGCGCTGCCAAAGACCTGCCACAGCAGTGTGGGGTCTTGCCTGCGGTTCTCCATAAACACGTTCTCCAGGGCCTCCGTCCAGTTGAGCTCATTGAGGATGACGGTGGCTGCAGGCAAAGCAGGAGGCTGGGATGGGGAGTGCTTGGGCTGTCCCCTGCTGTACCCACCACTGTGACACTCAGAATGCCTCACCTGCTCTCTCCTTCATTTCCCAGCTGTGGCCGTACCAGCTCTGCCAGGAAACCTTCCTGGCCCTCACCCCCACCCCCCAAGTTGTTGAAGGAACAGCTCAGCCTACCCTTCAGCCAGGCCCCACATGAGTAGGCAGGGTAGCTGTGGCCTGTGGCTCTGGAGAGGGGCCCCCCAGGTGGCAGGGAGCTGTGTGCTGGGACCCCCATTCAGCATGCTGCCTGGAGCCTGTGGCTGGTCCCCTGGGAGCTCACCCACTCAGCATGCACTCCAGGCCACAGCCACAAGAAAGCAATTAAGGGCCCGTTGATGGGGCTGGAATTATTCAGCTATTAAGGTACCTGATAAGCTGGAAGCCACTCAGCCCCATGATTAATCAACTCGGGCCAAGAACAGGCAGGGGCGGGGGTGGGAGCTCCTGGAGGGGCAGGGGAGGTGCCATGATCCTGCTTGCAACATAAGCAGGTTCACTTGCACACACAGAGGCTGTACCCCGCAACAGGTATACCTGCATCTAACCTCTGTGTTTCTAGCCAGATGTGTGATCTACTTGATCCCAAACCCACCTTTCCAGTAATCTGACCACTGCCATAGTCACAGGGCACACGTGCTCACACCTAGATACCACTGTGCACCTACAAGAGGACACTGGCCGGTCCTGCTCTCACAACCCCCTATCATCAGTTACCCCCACCCTCACTTGCCCCCAACCCCTGTAGTTACACATGTGTGATCCCCTGGCCAGACCTACCTCTACACACATTCACAGTGCAAGGCTCCTCTCAGATGAATGGACACCATCCTGAGGACCCTTCAACCCGGACAGAGACCCAGGATGGCTTGTACGCTCCCCCCAATCTGCCCAATGTGTGTGTGTGTGCACACGTTTTCATGTGTGCGGTGCACTCATCCCTGGAGACTCAGGAAAAACAGAACAGCAGGAGTGGGACCCCTGCTTCTGCCAGGCCCTATACCTCACCTCTACCCTTGGGACTGTCATTTTTTCCCTCCAGGTGCTTCCCCTTCCTTCTTTCCCAGGTGGAGTCCTGCCACTGCGATCCTTATCAAAGACCCACCCCCAGAGAGGAGACCCACCCCCAGAGAGGACCAGAGACACTTTCCAAAGGCTCTGTTCTTCTCTTCAGAGCAGACAGGCTGTGATTTACAATCACTCAACCCGTTGCTGGGCACTCCCCTCTGCTCTCTCCCTCCAAGGGGTGGGGCCTCTGAGGTGGCTGCTGCTTCCCCCTCCCCCCCCTGCCCTCAGGCCCTTCTCTGTCCCTGTGTTTTCCCTTAACTGGCCAGAATGTGAAAACAAAACACATTTCTAGCATTGGCTCTGCCTATTGAACAGTATGTTATGGTCCTGTTCCTAATTTAGAAACTTAGTGAGTTGAACAATTTCTATTTTTCTCTTTAAGGAAAAAGTAAAGTCAAGCCCTCAAATGTTTCACACAGAACTGTCTGCCCTGGGAGAGTCTGTCTGGCAAATTCCAACCCTCACCGGGCCTCAGTTTTCCCATCTGTGCAATAAGAGGCTTCAAGCAGATAGTCCTGGAATCCCATCTGGCTGCCAGCAATGGGTTGTCCCTGGCTCAGGTCAAGAGCCAACAGAAGATCCCTGTTCTGGGTAGCTGTCTCTGCAGGTATCTGTGGCCACAGGCACACACATGCATTCACTGCAAGACACACTTGTGCAAACACCCCTGGCCCCCCACCTGGCAAGGGCCTGCCACTCAGCCCCACGTGCACACACCCATACCCACGTGCACACACTCTCAGATCATGCTGAGTTGGGAAACAGGGACCATGCCCCCTCAGGCAGGCGATTACAGATTTAATTAAAAGTGACACAGTAAATAAAAAACATATAAAATGTAATTTGTGTGGGTAGCGAGGAGTGACTGGGGAGGGCGGTGTGGCTCCTGTTTTAATTAGCGTGCCTGCCTGTGATAGTGCCCCTCGACTGGCTCAGGCAGGTGGCCTGCGGGCTGCCTGTGGAGGACTGGGGGTGACATTCTCCCCCACTCCCTCCAGAAGCTGCACAGAAGGCCTAGCTGAACCTGAGGGCGAAGGGGGCTTCCCTGAGGACTCTGGGGGATTCCCTGCATTCTGGGGCTTATGCAGTGGCTCTGAGGTCTTTGCCTCAAGACCCGTAGTCCAGTGGGCCCCTTGGATTCCGAGGCTACCCTGAAGGTGCTCACAGAATAGTGTCAAAACCAACAGGACCCAGTGCCTTAAATCCTGCTGCTGGAGCTCCCTATCCAGTGTTTGACTCTCGACCTCTTCCTCTTACACCTCCTAAGATCTTCAGAAAGTTCCTCCTGTCTGACTCAAACCCTTCTAGCTGGTTTCTCCATTGTGCAAAGCTGCCCTGTCCTTGGAGCTTGGAATCTTAGCCATCCTCTTCCCAGTCCTCAGCTCCTGGCTGCTCTGGGCTTGAAACCACCTCCCCAACCCCTTGGCTCTGTGCCAAGGAGAAGGAGGGTGGTGTAAGGGGGTTGGTATCTGTGACTGAGGAGCAGCTCCCTGTCCCCCTGGTCCCTGTGTCCACCTGCTGTGTGGTAGCTTCTCAAGCACTCCTACATGGGGCCAGGAAATGGAGGAGGGTGGGGAGGAGCTGCTTCAGGAACAGGTGGGGACTTAGCCCAGCACGGCGTGTGTATGCATTCACGTGGGCATGTGTGTACACATGGGCAGGAGGGTTAGTGTGAGGCTCTGCCTGTGAGCGGCTTGATGCCTGCATGTGGGTGAGCCTGAGAGGTAAGCAAGTGTGATTTCGGGTGTAGACAATGGGAGGTAGGTGGCACTGGCCCTCCATCCCCAGGAGTCCTAGGAGTGCCCAGGCAGTGGGCCTTGCCCCCACGGTGGTTGGGGAGGGCTGTCCTGATCATTCCGCACACTTACAGCCTTTGTAGATGTCCGTGGGGATCTGCACAGCTGTGTATGAATAGTTGACCTTGTTCTTGAAGTTTGGGTCCTCGATGAAGTCCAGTCTTAGGGTGCCGACCTTGGACCCCCTTTCCACATCCTCACTCTCAGGGTCATCCTGCAGAAAGGGGCCCTCCAGCAGTGTCAGGACTGTAAAATGGTGAGTGGGGTAGAACAGGCCTGCAGCTAGGGGCAGGCAGGGCCAGAGTCCAGGAGATAGGGGCATCTCAAAGACAGAGACTATTGCAGTCAGAAACAGAGAGAGATGGTGAGAGACAGGGACAGATGGACACAGGGTACGACCCCTCACTCAGGAGGCCTGTGACTCCCACCTGACACTGCCCACCCCATCCACCATCCCCACATTTGCTAAACCCAAATTCAAAAACCAAAACCAAAGCAACTCCTTTCCCACATCCTTGAAAACCAACAGTGAAGGAGGCAAATCTTGGAGCCAGGAAGGAGCAGCTGCAGACTTCTGCTTACAAGGATGTGCCTTTTGCTATCACAGGGGGGCCTTGGCAGCCCTGCCTAGGAGCTCTGCACCCACACACCCCCATTGGGTCCCGCCTATCCCCTGCACAGAGTTCCTTTTACACCAGGGACAGGGCCCTAGCTCCATTTGGGGTGGAGCACCACTCCCTGCAGCAGGTCAGTTCCATGGTTAGCTTGGGGCAGACCTCGGGAGAGGGCTGGGGGCTAGCACTGAGACCTGGTGACCTTCAGAGGGAGGGTCTGCAACGCCTGCTAGCAGCAGGATTGTAAGGGCCCCTGTTGATTTTCTAAAATGAGCCATAGCTGCCTGACAGGTGCCAATTACAGAATCTCTCTGCTGGGCAGGCTGGGCATGCGCCGTGCGCCCCCGCCCACCACCACAGGCTGGCAGAAGTGGGTCTGCGACTACAGTGTTGATGCCGCAGCCAAGGGGGTGGGGGCAGGCTCGGGTGCAGGTGTGCCAGCAGGGAGGGAAGATGGTGGTAGAGAGTGAGGGGGAAGAGAGAAAAAAGCCAGACTGAGGAGGCAACGGAGAGATGGAAACTGAGGCAGGGTAGGGAGCAGAGCTGGGGGGCTTCGTGCCTTGGTGGGAGGGAGCATGAGCAGCTGAATTCTCCACATGCTCCCTCATTACTCCCCAAGACCCCTGTGACCACCCTTAGCCCAGGCTCAGCTCATTTCCTCTCCCTGTGAGTCTCATGTAACACTGACCCTGCTGCTAATTGTGTCCTGGGCGTGTCCCTCCCCTCATGTTCCTGCCTCTAGGTGTCTGCGTAGGTTGTGTCTAGTCTGAGAAAAGGGTGACGGCACCTCTCCACCAGCCAGATGTGCTCTCCATACCCCAGGGCCACGCAGTGAACACCCTTTTCATACCATCAAGGGTGGATTTTCTACAGCAAAATCCAAGCTGTCTGCTGCCCTGCCATTACACCTCACCTGGTGTCCCAGCTCTCTTCCCCCACACTCCCAGTGCACCCTAGGAGGACCCTCAGAAGCCCCTGGGTGCTGGGTAAAGCCAGGGCAGGCAGCCGCTGAGCATCGAGGCCAGAGCGGGGAGCCAGCTGCCTGTGAGGCCTGCGCCACTCACGTTCTGCTCACAGGAGGGGGAGGCGCGGGAGAAGAAAGCCCCCGAAATGTCAGCAGCAGATGAAGGGCGCTGGAAAATTTAATCTCCCAACTTTCCCAACTAATGTGACATTTGGATTCTGTTCTGATAAGCTATCAGCTGGCGAACTTTTTCCTTCTTTCTCTTTCCCCCACCCCCACCTTCTGGCTGGTAATTTAAAAGTAAATGGTCTAGAAAGATCTCTAACTGTACCTCTGGCAAAGATTAAAAAAACAAAACAACACAGCAAGGAGGGGAGTCGGCAAATGACTGCATGTTGTCATTTATACCAGTGCCTGGCTGGGCCAGGCTGGCTTTGGGCCTAACTGATCCTAGCCCAGCCTAGCCCCAGGGCGAATCTCCTTGTTGGGCAGTCCCTGGCCCCAGCATATGTCCAAGGGGCTGGGAGCAAGGAGTCAGTGATTTAGAGTCAGGAGTGGGGGTCCTGGATACACTGAGGGCTACTGGGAGCAGGGAATTTAGAGTGTCCTGGTAGGTAGCTGGGCACCAGGCTGGCCAAGGAGCCCCTCAGTGCCACCCTGAGTCCAGAGGCTTTGTGTGGTAGGCGACTGCAGTCTCTTGGTTTATATTTAATGCACTGATTGCTAAAATCGCAGCCCGCTGCTGAGGGGGTAAGGAATTAGATTCAGGGTCTAATTAAAGGTTTGCTCTTCATTTGAATTTCAGATTCCAGCTTTAATTTTAGCAACTTCTCTGGGAGCCACAGAGCTCAGCCAAGGGGAAGCGCACCTGCTTGAGCCCACCCCTCCCTTGGAGCCTTCTGCCCTCCCTAAAGATCTCTCAGGCCAGCCTGGCCCCTGCACAGGGATCCATTCTGGTCTTCCTACTTCCTGGTGTCATTGGGTACCTCCTGCTTGCGCCAGGAAACCCCCCAAACTCATAGGCCTGGGAGAGGAAGACTGGATCTTGGGGCTTCTGCACCAGCCAGCACAGGTGGGACCTTAGAGACTGCATACCAGTGACACCTCTTTAGGGGACAGTCAAGTCTAACTACTTTTGCCTTGAAGACAGGCAGAGGGACTTGGGCCTTGACAAGTTCAGTAAACACTTTCTACTCCAAGTGCCCTACATGCTCAGACACTCTTGTCTTCTCTGTAGCCACCTCCTCCCAAGTGATTGTACATCTTTCATGTGAGTCCTCTGGTGACAGGGACCTCACTACCTCACAGGGCAGCCCAAGCAGGCTTGAGCCAGTCAGTGACATGGAGGTGGAAGAGCAGTGTGGCTCTGGGTTCTCTCTACTACCACTGTTGAGGTGGGTGACACCAGCTTAGCTGCGCCTCATCCGAAGAAGAGGCACAGGAACTGGGCTGCCTCTGAGGCTGGGAAGGAACTGACTAAACTCAGGGCCAAGCACTGATCATGGGGCCAGGCTGTGGGGTGCTCAGTACAGGGAAAGGAGCCTGTGCTGACCTAGAAATGCAGCTGCACGTCACTGTGTCCTGTTCCCACCTGCTCACCTCCAGGAAGCCCTCCCCAGCTGCTCCCTCTCTCCCTTACTCTTATTGTCCTCAGAGAGACCCTCTTGATGCCATGCTGGGACCTGTACTGCCCTGTGAGGGAAGGTCCAAGTGCCTCACCACCCTGCCCAGGGAGGGGGGCCAGGACACAGTGACCACAGAGACATAGCCCTGGAGGAGTCAGGACCTCTAGGGAGTGGTGGGATGTGGAGGGTGGGGCCTGTGTCACCATGACTCTGCAGGGTTGAGCTGAGAATGCTGGGCACTGAGTGCTAACACCCATTTTACAGCTGAGGCCAACAAATGGATGTGGCTCTGGCAGCTTCCCCCATCCCCCTCCCCCGCATAGGTGGGGACACTCACCAGCTCAGCATCGGCCTTGGAGTCATAGTACATGATGTCTTCCTCCTAGTAGGAAAAGAGAGGTCTCAGCATTTGCACCTCAGGGTCCCCTGAGATGCAGCCGGGACCCCCAGCCCCAAGGCCTGGGAAGCCCCCTCAGATTCCTCTGGGGCAGAGACTGTCCCCTCCCCCCATCTGGAGCTGTCCTCCTGGAGGCGCAGGATGAGTCTGTGCTGGAAATGTCCCACCACCACCTCAGCCAGGCCAGGCTCAGGAGGATGTGGTACCGGTACCGGTACTGCAGCCTTGCTGGGAGGCAGGGTCAGAGCCAGCCTGGCTGGAGAGATGCCAGCTGAGGCACCACCGGGGAGTGAGGAAGATGGGAAAACAGAGCTGAGTCTGGGCAAGAGTGAAATAATGACTCGACGCCGCATCTTCCAATTCCTTCTATTAAAAAGCCTGCTCATTATGGGCATGTACTTATTAATTATCTGTGATTTGTTGTGAAATGCAAGGGGGTTTACACAACAGGAACGGGAGAAAACAGAGCCCGGCCCGCGCGCCTGCCCCCCGCCCTGCCTGTCTGCGCCCACCGCCTGGGTTCTTGGCCATCTGCACGTCATAATCACTGGCCGCCCCGGGGACCCGTAACACAAACGGGCTAATTTCATGTTTAATGATCTTTAATCAGAACCGAGTGTGGCTGCCAGAGGCTGCCAGAAGGTGAGCCTGGTGTCAGCAAGTGCCACCCGCTCAGGAGGGGCCACCCCCCTCTGCCCCTGTGGACTCTAAAGCCAGGACTCCAGACAGGGCCACTGTCCAAGTTCCCCTCCTCAGGTGCTCCTCAGCCCCGTTCCTGTCCCATATAGCAAAAACCTGCAGCGTGGTCCCGGCAGTCCTTCCCTCCCTCGGGGCCTGTTTCTTTGCAGTTTGCAAATGGGAGCGGTGACCCACGTTGCTCCTGAGGGCCAGGCTGTAAAGCAGCAAGCACAGGGCCTGCACTCACTCCAGAAGGGGCGGAAAACACCTTGGCCACCACATTCCCAAGGCCTGGCTGGGGCCCACTTGCAGTCCCCAAGGCTGGACTATTCCCTCTCTGAGCCTCAGGCTCCTCATGGCTCCAGGGAAGGGCCTGGCCTTGGTGACTGCCTGGGTGCTGGGTCTGTGGTCACAGTTTGAGGTAGTCAGTACTAGGGATTGCTGCAGGGAGCAGTCCTTGGCTGTCTCCCACCATGGGCCTGGGGAGTGTAGGCCACTGGCTGGACGTGTGGGCTTAGTGCAAGCCTTCTAGAACACTGTCTGCATGCCTGGCACTGTGCGTGGGCAAGATCACAACCTCCGGAGGAATGTAAGACCAAAGAGGACTTGCTAGTTTCCGGAATCTGAGGCATCTGCTGCTTCCTCCCGACAGCCCTGACTCCATCATACAGATGACATAGGGCAGGGATAAGGAAGGCTTCACATCCTGGCTCCAACCTGCCCTCCCAACTCACCTCCGCCTTTGCCCACACCCACCACCCACCCACCAGTCCTGAAAGACTGGAGCCCAAGTGGGCTGGGGTGGGGGCTGGACAGGCCCTGGCTCCAGGGTGCTTGGCCCTTCCCTGCAGCCGCTCCGACTGAGGCGCATAATGAAAGCTGACACGACATCAAACACAATAAGGAGTTTCGGTTGATGAAGATCATTCTGAACACACAAACCCATTAAACTGAGGGGGAAAAATATCAATTCAACACACTCACCAGTGAAAAGAAAATGTGATTTGTTATCTAAAGGGGGGCTATAGACATGGTTCTGATGCTCTTTCCCTCTGTAATGAAAACAGGTGGGCCTGGCGCAGATTACAACCTGGAGCCTCACTCACCAACTTTTTAGGCAGACCTTCTGCAAGGACAGGAAAGGGCATGGGTAGGGACCCATCACTCTCAGGCCTTCAGGAGCCCTGGACTCCCCACACAGGCTGTGGCTGGGTCCTGCCTGCACCTGGGTCATCCCTGGGAAACCCTGGCATTGACTTGGGCCTCCTCTTCAGGGGCTGCCATGGCTTCATTTCTCTATTTGTCCTGCTGTTTCACAGTCTCAGTGGAACATCAGATATTGGTGGCCTCAGGGACACAGGGGGACATGTCATACAGGAGGATTCCCAGCTTCCTGAAGACTACAGGTGAGATTCAGTAACCTGTATGCTTTCTCTGCCCCCAGGGCTTGGCTGTCTGTGGGTAGGACTCCTCCCTGCCTCTCCTGCCTTGAGGAAGGCCATGCCATGCCCCTTCCTTGGTAGAGAGGAGCATGGGACAGTGGCAGGCAAAGTCACACATGTGAAAATACATCACAAACATAAACGTAGCTGTGATTCCATGCTTGATGTGATGTGGAGCTGGGGGTGTGGCAGGATGGGGCTAGTAGGGTCAGGGTGGGAGGGCCCCTGGGAAGGCCTCTGTGTCTGCTTTGGCCAGCACAGTGCCCGAATGTCTACCATTAGTGACCCACCTCCTGGGTTAAATAACAGGAGGCAGTACCATCTGGTGACTGAGTGTAGGGGCCTTGGCAAAGGGTCCTGGGTTCAAATTCTGACTTGGACATGTGGGAACTCTGGGATCCTGAGCAGAGAGTGAAGACAGGCTGAGCCTCAAAGGCCTCAGCCTACAGGCTTGTCCCAGGGGCCCCATGAGGACTTCCAGGTGTCACTGCCATCTCATCAATGAGGCAAGGGTGCCTAGTTAAATCATGTGGCTTCAGTGAGGCTTCACTTCGGGGTCTTGATTTCCCACTTGTAAAACCAGGATGGTGATGGTTGCTCTGAGGGCGGGAGGAAGACAGGGAGCTGGGACTCCGTTGGGGGTAGGGCCAACTCTACCCACAGATGAATCCTGTTTGTAGCTCCACAGCCCACAGGAGAGGCTGAGTGTGGAACAGACCCCCTGGGTGGGGTGAAATGGGTTTCCTTAATATCTGAGGTCCCCAGTCCTGACACCCCTCTTTGTTACCTGATATTTAGGGGCCATTTTGCTCAAACTGTGCAGGGGGTGGGGTGGGAAATCACCCCCTTTGAGCCCACACACATGCCCCCCACCATGTGCATTTGTGTGTATAGGTGACAGGTGAGGGGGCAGGGGGAATCCACATGGCCAATGTATAGATGACACATACACTCTCCTTAGTAGGAGCCAAGACCAAGAGAGGGCACAAGGGGTGCTGGCAGTTGGAGAACAGAGTGAGGAAGTGTGCATGGGATGAGCATGGGGAATAGCAGTTGCCATCCATGTTTGGAGTCCTGGAAGGCGGCTGCCAAGGCCTGGCCAGACATGACTGTTGCCTGTCTGCCAGCTGCCTGTGCAGAGCCCAGGCCAGCCACCGGCTGCACCAGTGAGGATGCTTAGCCTTCCTGCCCTGGCCCACTGCCAGCTCAGCTCAGCCAAGAGGACTGTTTTCTGAGAGAGCCGTCTGTTGCTAGCTTGGCAGAGAGGCAGGCAGTGGCCCTATGGCTGGGTCAGACCCTTAGGCTAGGGAGGCCACCTGTCCTGTCCAGCCGGCTCTTTCTGCCTGGCCCAGGCTTCACGGCCCTCCCTCTAGTTTCCCCAGGCAGAGCTACCTCCTCCATCAGACTTTCTAGGGCAGGGCTGTGTCTTTCCCATCAGACTCACCAGGGTAGGACTATTTCCTCCATTAGACTCCCAGGGCATGGTTTTGTCTCCTGTAGGCCCTGGTGTTGGCACCGAGGCCCTGGGGCCAATGGCCTCTCCTCCCTCCTCCACCTATGCCCTGGTCCAGCTCCTCCCTGGTGGTTTAGGTGGCATGCAAAGCTGGCATAGTGTGGTGCTGGCACCAGGTTACAGTCCGGCAGGTGGCCTATCTTCATCTACCCTAAGTGTTATGGGCACCAGACCACCTGCTGCCTGTCTGCGGGGGCCATGAGAAGAGCTACCTGCTAATCAGGGCCATAGTTTCCCTGGTGCCTAAGGGTCTGGGCTGGCTAGGGCTGTGGCTACAGGTTCCCTGCCCCTGCCATGGCCAAATGTGTGGGATCACAGCCTGGGACTAGGAAGGGGTATGGTGGCAGTTTATGTCCAGACATTATCCCCTTGATCTCTTGTCCCAGCTCTGACTCTGCAGACTCCAGGATTCCCCCAAGTCCCTGGGCTGGTGTCAGTGGGGGTTGTGCACGTGTGGATGTGGGTACACCATTGTCCGTTCCTCAGAGGTCTGCATGTAGATGGGCTTTGTGATGTCGAACAGGGAGGGCCACACCCTACAGATTGTGCAGTGGGTTCCAGTCTGGCCCCCTGGGCAGAGCATCTCCTTTGTGCTCAGAACTGCTGGGTGCCATCCTCCCCACCTCAGAGGTAAAAAGACTGCTCTTGGTCACTCTGTCAACAGGGTACTCAGCTAGGCACATGGACAGGTGGCGCACAATGCTAAGTAAGACCCGACTGCTTCTGGCCTGGAGGAGCCATGAGTGGGGCAGATGGATAAGCCCATGGGACACTGGCCTGGGGCAACTTGCAACGGGAACCATGTGAGACGGAGGCACCAAATGTGGGCACTGTGGGCAGTGGGGGCCAATCCTAGGATTGGGGACAAAAAGGGGAGTCCTAGGCATATATTTGGAGAGAGAGGCTTTGTCCTTCTGAAGGAGGGGATAAGGGTATTCCTGGGAAAAGGCCCGGCTTGGGTAAAGGGCCTGAGTTCGAGGCTGGGATTGTGGCACATGCCAGGTGCCTCTTCTCAGTGCTGGGAAGGAACATGGCTCCTTGTCTGTCACCTCTTGAAGGTCATTGGGAAGGACGTGGTTTCAGGTGGTTTAGGTGGTGGACAAAACACCTCCCTTCTCCAGCCTCATGTCCCTGTACCCCCTGGCATAAACAGCCCCGCCTACATCTGCTGTTGCCAGCTCCCCCCGGAAGCCCAGGCAGAGCTGGTGGTGTGTCAGCTAATGGGCCCACCATTAGCACTAATGCCTTTCAGCCTGGCAGCCGCGGGGCGCAGCAGTGCTTCCTGGGAAGAGTGGTGACCCTGCAGCCAGGAAGGAGGGGGTAACCACAGCCCCACCCTATCTAAGATGCCAGTGGGACAGACAGACAGGCAGGCACATTGATGGGCTGGGGGGGAGGGCAGTGAGCATTGGGCAAACAAGGCTAGGCTCAGCTGGCCCTGTGGTCAGTGCTGCCTGTGCTCACACCCACAGCTGGAGGCATCTCAGGTCAAGCTGGGGTGTGGGGGGGCCTACCACATCCCACTCTTGCCTCATCTCAGGACAGAAACACCCAGACGTGCCCACATTCTCACCAACTTGGCACCCATAGAGCCTGTTGTGTGGCCTGACCCTTTCACATGCCATGTCTGAGCTGACAGGCTGCACCAACACCAGTCAGTACTTTGCCAAATGAGGAAATGGAAGCCCTTGCCTGAGTCCCACAGGGACTATGACCCAGGGTGCAGGTAGTGGGTCTTCACGCAGCATCTGTCTCAGCATCCCTTGGATGTCCCTGAGAGCTGGTCCATCCTTCCTGGCAGGCCTACTTGCTGCCCACCCTGGCTGGGAAAATCTGTTCCTGCCTCAGGGAATGGCTGAAATTCAGGGATCAGGGGTCTGGCAGGACAGCCCTGGAATTGTTGGGTTTTCTGCACAGTTAGGAAGAGAAAAGAGGTTTGGGGCTCAGACGGCCTTTTTGTCTCCCTGTTTGGGGCCTGGATGGGGAGACAGAGAAAGCCAGGCTAAGAGTGGGTCTTTTCTTTCCCTTATTCCCTGATTCCTTCACTTGCCAGCCTGTGCCATGCCTATACTGGGGGGTGGGGAGGAAGCCGATATGTCAGGAACAAATGAAGGGGTAGAGCAGGAGTGGAGGGTGCTGGTGCTTAGAGGATGAGAGAGCAGCCCCATGGGGAAGGGACAGAGGAGCTGGGTCTCCAGGAGGAACAGACGGCATCCCAGGCAGAGAGATAAGCACCAGCAAAGGCCCAGTGGCAGGAAAGGCCTGGAGTGTTCTGTGTGTGCAGCAGGGAGGAGGTGTGAGGAGCAAGGCTGGGAAGGAAGGCAGGAGCGGCCAGACCCTGGGGCTTTGAGTGCAGGCTCAGGGCTGGGCCTCACAGGCGGAGCTGCCAGAGCAGGGGTGCCTGGAGGCTGGGGCGTGGTCTGAGTGGATAGTGAGAGCCAGTGGCTGCTTCCATGCCTATTTCTGATCAAGGGCTGAGAAGGGACAGGAGCCCAGTGATGGGGGGTAGTGCTGGAGCGGGGAGGGAGAAGGGTCAGTCCCCAGGCTCCTGGGGAGGGGGACTGGCTTAGGAAGTTGCTAGCTCATTTATTTATTCGCCTAAAAAAAAAGCCATCTGTTATTCCCCATCCTACGTGAACCCCCTACAGGGAGTACCGAGCGGGGGGGGGGGGGGGGGGGGGGGGGGGGGGGGGGGGGGGGGGGGGGGGGGGGGGGGGGGGGGGGGGGGGGGGGGGGGGGGGGGGGGGGGGGGGGGGGGGGGGGGGGGGGGGGGGGGGGGGGGGGGGGGGGGGGGGGGGGGGGGGGGGGGGGGGGGGGGGGGGGGGGGGGGGGGGGGGGGGGGGGGGGGGGGGGGGGGGGGGGGGGGGGGGGGGGGGGGGGGGGGGGGGGGGGGGGGGGGGGGGGGGGGGGGGGGGGGGGGGGGGGGGGGGGGGGGGGGGGGGGGGGGGGGGGGGGGGGGGGGGGGGGGGGGGGGGGGGGGGGGGGGGGGGGGGGGGGGGGGGGGGGGGGGGGGGGGGGGGGGGGGGGGGGGGGGGGGGGGGGGGGGGGGGGGGGGGGGGGGGGGGGGGGGGGGGGGGGGGGGGGGGGGGGGGGGGGGGGGGGGGGGGGGGGGGGGGGGGGGGACTGAGGAGGAGGAACAGGTTTAGGGTCCTAGATCATAGGCATGAACCTGGCACCTGTCAGCCCAGCTATGAATCTCTGCCACCAATAGGTAATCTCAGGTAGCTCTAACCACTCGGTGCCTCAGTTTTCTCATCAGGTAAGTAGGGATAATAACTCTGCCTACTACCTGGGGCTGACATGCTTTGCTGTGCCTGGTCCAGAACTGGAGTGAATCAAGGGTCTGCCCCACACTCACCCTCCTTACCAGTCCCTGGGTCCAAGGGGGCAGCTCTTGGTGTCATGACCTGTCCACCCCTCCTCGTGTTTAGCATGGAGACCACCAGGAGGCATGGCCCAGACACCTGAGCAGCTGTGGAGGACACAGGAGCGTTGCCAGCTGGTCTGGTCCCTGAGGGTTCCATCGCTGGGGCTTGGCACAGGGGCTTCCCTGAGTCTGGGAGGAACCCTGCCTTAGTCTTATGCTGGCCTGACAGGAAGGGGGCAGGTGTATCCAGCGCCAGGCATCCAGCTCAGGTAAAATCAAACACAGCAACAAATTGGCGAGGGCAACCCAGGCCTGAGGCTGGGGTTAGCAGGGCCCTCTGATCTCAGCTCCTTGCACCTTTGCTCCAAGAAGTCTGAGCTCCTTCTGAGCTCTCATGGTGGAAGGAGAGGCCTTTGTGACTGTGGCAGCCTGGCCCCCTGAGCCCAGCCTGAGGGCCTCCTGGGAGGACAGGCTGCTGTTCAGGGAAGTTGGGGAAGGTGATTCAGTCTCATCCCAGCATCTCTTCCTGGTCACTGTATTAAAGTCTCTGACAAGTCCTGAAGTCAAGAGGCCTCTTTGACCCAGTGGTTCTCCAAGAATCTGGGCACCTCCTTTGGGGAACACCACTTTGAGTAGCCTTTCCACTCACAGGCAACCCCACGACTCCTCTGGAGTGAAATGGGGGCTCATATCTATACCGCGTGTCCCAGCACTGAGAGAGAGCCTGGAATACTTGCTGAATGTTGAACAAAGGCTTCTGGCTTTACTCCACAGACCCCTCAGTGTCCCTCCAGTGTGTTTGGGTAGCCCCCCTCCCTCTCCCCTCTCCTGTATTCACATCCACCCTTGCTGGGGGTGGGCATGCCCTAGGTGCTGGGGAGGGTGCTGCAGTTCTTACCTTGATGTTGTCCTGCCAGCGGTGGGCTTTCTGGAAGTTCTCCGCAGCATCGGCCAATCTCTGAGGGACAGAGCACAGGGAGGTCAGAGGCTGAGAAAGGCTGCCTGCCCCAAGCCAACCCCAAAGCCTTCTCCATTCCCAGCACCCCCTGGGGTCAGGCCGACTCAGGAACTCCCTTTTCCTCATCCCACCAGGCATCTCCATGGGAATCCCTGTATTCTGGCTCAGCAGTGTCTCTTGCCCAGAGGATGGCAGGGGGACCCCAGAACTGGGCCAAGCCCCAGTGCCACTCTGTACCCCCTACAAACAAGTGTCACCCCAGAGCCAAGAGGAAGCCCCTCCCCAGCCAGGTGTGAACCATCAGAAATTACAAAGTGCCTCGCCAATGCTCTGACTCTACCCCCCATCCTGCCCAGGGCCTGGCAGAGGTGCCCACAGCCCACCTCCACCTACCTAGGCCCACTGTCCCTCTCCCAGGCCTCCTGGGCCCCTTCCCACAAGCCTCCCAAGCTCTCTGTCTACATGAGCCTGGTCTGTCCTCTGGGGCTGGTTCCAGTGGCCTCCTCCGGGGAAGCCCTTGTGCCTATGAGCAGAGAATGCTCCTTTTAGAGCATAGCTGTGAGACTGTCCATCCCACGCCTGTACCCAGGCATGCTCTGAGCCAACTATGCTGATTTGTGGAGATAGGGCAGACCCAGCCCTGCTTCTCACCGTCACAGTCCAGAGGGGAAACTGACACATAACTGGCAGAACACCCAGGGCAGGAGCAGCTGAGGTGCGGGAAGCTGCGTGCTGTGGGAACTCGGGATGTCAGGGAAGGCTTGCTGGAGGAGGTGCCAGGACCCGGCCACCCTCTGGGCCTGAACTTGGGCATCCAGAGGTTCATAGTTGGCACTTCCCATGTCCCTCCAGGAAGTCTTGGGGTTCCCAAGGATAAAACTGAGTCTGGCCCTTTGGGGCCTCCTGCAGAGCTGAGCGCAGTAACATCCAATTAATAATTATAATGACAACTATCACCACGAGCTGGCCACCTACTGCATGCCCAACCCTCCCCAAGACAGTGACACGAGCACCTGTTACCATTTACAATGTGCCTGACATGGGGCTGTTATGTTCCCTCCTCAAATGAGGATACCCAGGCACAGAGATGGCAAGCAGCCTGCCCCAAATCACACAGTGCGTCTGGGTTAGGCTGGGGCCCTGGTCTCAGCCCTCATCACAGCATTTGCCCTGCTCAGCCCATGGCCAAAGTCCAAAGGCCCCCCTCTGTGGGGCCCACCACACCCAGTAAGGAGGGTGCTCTGGATCCTCACCCTGTCCCATCCCATCCACCTGGGAGTAGAGCAGTAGGGTCCTGCCCCCAGGCCTACAGCCCTACTCAGAAGGCCCTGGCCCCATGGTATTCAGGACACCTCACCCCCATCTTCCAGTCCAGGCCTGATGTGGCACATAGGCCCTAAGGGGAGGTTCTAATAAAGCCTAAACAGAGAGAAGGGGGTAAGGTGAGACCTCCATGTGGAGCTGTGACATGCACTCTCCTGGGGAGGGTGTCACCCCTGGCAATTAGAGGGGCTGAGGAGAGCTGTCCCCACTACCACTGGGCTTGCCTACCCATCCTTAGGCCAACAGCTCTGAATGGTGGGAAGGCTATGAGACTGGGGGCCCAGGGGCGGGGTGAGAAAGTGCCTCTTGGAGTCAAACCCTTTCATCCTCCCAATGCTGAGCCCCTCCTAGCTTCCACCTTCTCCCTTGTGGGCTCGGTCCTCCACCCACCCTTTATCGCAGAGCCTGCTTAGGTGGGACCCACACCCTCCTCTGCCTCCCAACCCAGCCCCTCGCACTCCAGGGGTTTCAGGGACTATAGGCCTCTGCTCCATGAAGCTTCCCATGTCTTGCTTCCAATCCTGGCCCCTCCTGAGCTCCTGAACACTTCTCTGGGACAACCATCAGACCCACCCGCTCATACCACCCGCTCTTGGAACAGGCCCATCTACCTTGGGACCTCTCCCTCCTACATTCCACCCTTGGTATCATTCAAACTACCTCCTGTTTATCCCCCATCTCAAGCTCTGTCCTGCCCCAAGAACCTGCATCCTCTCCTGTCCTCCTTCATATATTCTCCACACAACACCTAGAGCCTTATCTCAAAACATAGATCTGATCACAGTCCCCTGCCCCGAACCGAACCGTTCAGTAGCTCCCTATTGCTCTGCATATAAAAGACAAAGCTTTCTTGAGGCCTTGTAGGGGCCACCTGTGCTTGATTCCTGTCCTTCCTTTTCTATCCTCTAGGCGTAAGCCACAAATATCCCCCAACTCCAACCTTCCAGGGTGGGGGAGGTCCCCAAGTCATAAGCCTGCAGTGTCCTTCCACAGAGGACATTATCGTGTGACACCTAGGGTTAACAACACTTGTCATGCATGTTAACTGCACCGGGCGCCAAGGTCAGCACTTGGCCTGGAGGATCTGTAAAGCCTAGCGAGGCAGCCCCTAAGGACTGGTCAGTCACTGTTCCCCCTTTCCTTACCCTGTCACCCAGTACCTTTCTGGGGACCTGGGATCTTCCTCAGAGTGGGGCTGGAGCCCGTGTGGAGCTCCGCTGAGGCCACTGCTCTTCACAGTGGTTGAGGTTGGGGCAGAGTGTGGAAACCACATTGGGTCTCCTGCTGTAGAAAAGCCACCAGTTTGATGGGGTTGCAGACACCAAATTGACACTAGTGGAAGTCTCCAAACTGGGCCATGACCGTGAAGAACTGTCCTCTCCCACCACTACCTCCACCCCTGGCCAGGGGGTGCCAGCTCCTTTGCCCTCTCAGGGCTCAGCTCTGACCCTGGGATTCACAGGCCCAAGAACACACGGGCTGCAGGCCCCTCCGGCCCCCTAGGCAAGCAGATGAGGTGAGGGAGATACAGAGAGTGAGGGCCCAGCCCCCAGCCTCCTTGAGCCCATGCAGTCCCATGGGCTTGAGGGCCCAGGTCAGCCCGCTGACTCGTGAATAACGGAGTCGCAATAGCCACAGCAAAAGGATTACTTTTAATCCTCAGTAACGATCAAGCCATTATTATTTTTTCAGTGTTACAGATCAATCAGCCCATCCCCGGGCGCTGGACGTGTGGGAACTGCTAAGCAGACAGGCCTGGTGGTGCGTAAGGAAGGGCTGAGGCGGCCCAACGGAGTGGAGCGGGCAGGCTGCGGCTGCATGTGCTCCTACCAGGCCGGACGGTGAGGGCTGGGACAACCCCTGTTCGTGAGGGGCCCTGAGCAGGGATCTCAGCCTGGACCCCAGAGCCTTGACCTGGGTTCAAAGCCCAGCTTCCTTGAGCAATGGCTTCACCCCTCTCGGGCAGGCTGCGGCTGCATGTGCTCCTACCAGGCCGGACGGTGAGGGCTGGGACAACCCCTCTGTTCATGAGGGGCCCTGAGCAGGGATCTCAGCCTGGACCCCAGAGCCTTGACCTGGGTTCAAAGCCCAGCTTCCTTGAGCAATGGCTTCACCCCTCCGGCCCTCAATGTCTTGCTTAAAAACTGGAGATAGTAATTGTACCCACTCAGAAGGTGGGTAGGTTCTTGGCAGGCCCCTTCCTGTAACCCCCAGCAGCTGCCCATAGGCAGCTAGTCCCTGGAGGTTTCTCTTGCTGGCTCTTGCCCACCTCTGAGCCTTCCTCTGTTATCTATTCTCTCTGCCTGGTCAGCTGCTCTATCAGACTGTATCACCTCCTCTGGAAGCTTTCTTTTGCCCTGTCCAGCCCTGGGCTTCTCCTCCCCTCTGCTAGGCAGGACATGTCCTGAGACAGGGATCTCCAAGCTTAGCTCCACCTGCCGGGTCCAGAGCCTTGGGCTCCTGTCCCCATAGAGTCCACAACAGTCAGGCCTGCTCAGGGATGAATGGGAGATCATACCCACCCTGCCCCAAAGTTTATCCTCCCAGCACTTCCCTCCCACCTCTCTGGGTCCTAGCTTGGGGACGAGCAGCATGGAGAAGGAAACTGAGGTCCAGAGATGAGGGGCGAACCTACCACGACGCCTAACGGGGCAAGACAGAGCTGGGGTCACAGCTTGGTCCTGTCTCCAGGTCGCCTGCCTGCCTGGGGGAGATGTGCTCCATTCTTAGCCCTGACCCTCAGTGCCTGTCCCCTGGGAGTGGCTCCCTGCTCAGGCTCTGGGCTCTGCTCTTGGAGCCACCTGCAGTCTGGTTCTCCTGCTGCCAGGCCCTGCATATGCTGCTACCTCCCTGTTCCCTCCTGCCAGACTCTTCTAGCCAGACTCACTCCCTCACCCTCCAGGTTTTCTCCTTCTAGCTACTCCCTGACACCTGCCAAGCCACCCCATCCCCACCGCAGTGCCCACGGAACCCTCTGCTGTGTCTGCTTTCACCCTTGAACTCTGAGTGTGGTGGGGGCAGTGTCTGGTGGCCGTTTACAGTAACCTGACCATGGGCACACAGTAGATGCACAATGAATACCTGCTAAATCAAGGTAAGGGCGTCTATGGACCTGTGTAGAAGCCTGGGCTTGAGTCTGGCTCTGCCTGCCAGCTGTGTGACCCTAGGTGTGTGTTTTTACCTCTCTGAGCCTCTTTTCCTCACCATCCTGGGGGTGTGCGCTGCCTATGAGGATGCTGCTGCTATGAAGTCACTGATGGTGCCTCACTGGGCCTGCGAATGTCCCCATCATGACCATGGCATTGGAGGGAACCGCAGTGGGATTGTGGAGCCGGGCTGCTCACAGCCAAGTCCATCACGATAACAGCGGGCATTTCAGAGGCAATTAGAGAGTTTCACTTAACAATCAATTTCCCTCAGCTCTGGAAACCATTCTTACAGGAAAAGGCAAGAAAGAGGAGGACTGGTAGTGCATGGGGCTGGGGACAATACTCACCTGGGGAGCAGCCACCTCCACAGATACCTTCAAATTTCACTAAGTTAAACATCTTTCAATTTTGGTGGAGCCGAGACAGACAATGACTTGAGATAAGGGGCCCGGGGCCATGGTAGGCGCCCCTCAGAGGCTGACACTGGGAGGGCAAGGCCCCCTGCGTGCTGGGAGGGGAGGGGCTTGG